GATCTTCCTGTCTCTGCTCCACCCCCCCCCCCGCACTGGACTTACGGGCCTGCACTGCCACACCTGGCTTTTACCTGGGTATTGGGGATCTGAATTCAGGCCCTAGGCTTGCTTCCATTGTTCATTCAAGTTAATGAATCTTCAGTATTTTAAACGTAGAGCTTGTATTTCAGCTAGATGGGCTGGTTAGTGGGCCTCCAAGATCTTCCTGTCTCTGCTCCCCCCCCCCCCCCGCACTGGACTTACGGGCCTGCACTGCCACACCTGGCTTTTACCTGGGTATTGGGGATCTGAATTCAGGCCCTAGGCTTGCTTCCATTGTTCATTCAAGTTAATGAATCTTCAGTATTCTTCTCTAACATGCCCACCATTAATGTAAAATTATTTGCTGCTTTACTAGTGTGAAAGACATTCATTTTTGTGACAAGGTATTTCAAGGCAGATACATTCGTTAAGCTGAATTCCTATTCAATTATCTAAAAAGAAAAGTGAGACTTTTAAACTGGGCACAGTGGTACAAGAATGTACAGTCCTAATGGAAGGGGTTGGGAGGCTGAAGGAAGATTAAGAGTTCAATACTAGCCTGGACTGCATACTGAGATTGTGTCTAAAAATTAAACATATAATATATGTTTATATAATGAGAAAGCGAGAGAGTGAGAGAAAGGAGAGTTTCTCCTTTCTGGTCCAAAAGATAAGAAGGTTACCACTCTATTCTAACAAGTACAAAATTGAACAGAATGAAAACTCGGTAACTTTTGGATCCATTGGTAAAGAGAAGGGAGGTCACAATGGGAATCATTGTCCCTAAATTGATGTGGGAGACAACCAAATACAGAGAATCACAACTGTGAGGGCAAGAATCTACATGGGGGAGTCAGAACCACATGTGGAAATCCAAAACTATAATTTCCTAACTGCTGGAGACCAGTCTGGAGATGAAAACTCCAGGGGAAGCCAGTCTCAGGAACTCACACCTTGATAAGTTGTACTCCCAAAGCACCATCAAGTCTCACTTAACAAGGGCTGCTCCCCTTTGGAGAAATTACTTTATGAACCTAATCTGAGGTTAACTTACCTCGTGTCAGAAATCAACTCCAGGCAGCTCTCACCTAAGGGAGAAAACAAAACTGAAAAGCTTGTGGAATTGGTAGTCCAAGGACAGAAGCTAAAAGACTGGCAATCAGTCATAGGACCATGGGTCCCTCACCTCCTGCATCTTACCACCTCCTTACTGATGCCTATCTACAGTAGCTCCTTTTAGTGCATAGCTGCCTATCAGAAAGTATCAGAAGCAGCACCAGGCTTAAACTTAGGTAGGGGTAGAGGTGTTGGTATTGGGACAGAAATTTAAGACAACTGTGATTACTGACAAGCAAGAACTCAACTGGTAATAGACATGTGGTTGTAGAGCAGATGGACAATTGGAAATGAGAATTTTAAGAGACCAGAATAGAACACTGTAATAGAAATGAATACTTTAG